GTGAGTGATGGCAAGTCACTTGTAGTGTGGCGTTCGGATGAGTGATGAAGTCACTGGGGTGTGGCGGTCCTTCAAGGAGCGGTGAGTGATGAGGTGACTGGGTGTGGCTTGGGAGTGAGGTGATGAGGTGACTTGGAGTGTGCTCGGAAGTGAGTGTTGAAGTCAGCTGAGTGGTGCGCTTCGGAGTTAAGGTGATGAAGTTCACTGATGGTGGCTTCTGGAGTGAGTGATGAGTCACTCGAGTGTGGCTTCAGAGGTGAGTTGATGAAGCACTGACGGGTGTGGGCTTCAGAGGGTGAGTGGATGGAGGTCACTGGAGTGGTGGCGTTCAGAGGTGAGTGCATGAAGTCACTGAGGCTGTGGCTTCAGTGGTGTTGATGAGGTGACTGAGTGTGGCTTCGGAGTGAGTGATGAAGTCACTGAGTGTGGCTTCGGAGTGAGTGATGAGGTCACTGAGTGTGGCTTTGCTTGTCCATTGCAGCTGAAGCCACGTCGACCGATGCGACCTGACCCTGAGAAGAGAAACAGCGCCCACCTGACAACCCACCTGAAGCAGCTGCACCGCATGTCACAGGCCTCCACATCGTCCACCGGTCCGTTCCCATTATTATTATTATTATTAAATTTTTATCACAATCATGTAATTCAAATACAAATACATGTATGTACTGAAGACAGACGTTTTCATGGAGAAAAAATCTGATAGATGCAATGTGTTGAGCAGTTAAAACTACTTCACTACAGACTGTCACGAGTGTAAAACAAAAACGAAACAGATAATTGCAAATGTGGCAGTTACAGTTGTTGTTGTTTTTCTTTTATTAGCATTCTTGTTCTTGATTTTTTCATAGTTTTTTAAATTATTTCTTCACCGTTGCTGTCGCTGCTGCAATTAACTTCTCATGATAATTGTCTCACTGTTTCTCATACCATATGTCTAACTGCAACAACTCGTCTTTGTATTTTCAGCACACGAATTAGGCTTAATTCGAAGCGCACAAATACGTGCACCTGTTTAAATGTCAAGGTCTGCAGAACAACTGAGCGGTTGATCGTGTTTTACAGTTCATCTTTACCTTCACGTGATGACTCACTTCCGCAGGTTCGTTGGACCGCTCCACCCCTTCCTCGGGTGACTTCTCAGACGAGCCGCCCCCTCTCCCCCAGAAGCTTGCACAGGCCGACTACACGAACATAGTGGATACAGGTCAGCTGCTCGGACCAAAGAACACCCGGTCCATGCTGCACACACGCGTCAAGGACAAGGTAGCTGGTGATGAGTTGTAGATGCGAGATTTCACTGAGAATCTCGTGACAATGCAACACTCACTCGTTGGCGGTAGAGCCAGTGTTGTTCTATTCCAGTGTGCTCGCCTTTCAGTTATATTCAGTTATATCGCCTATCAGCGCTCCTCAAATTGCATAATCGCTTGTTACCGATGCGGCTCCATTTCATTGTTGTTGTTTTTTTCCAGCATTGTTTAATTCTTGTCTTTTCCCCCATCAATTCTTGTTCATTTCATCGTTCTTCTTTCTTAGTGTCAACCCAATTAACATCTGCTTTTCATTATATAATTAGTTGAGTTGTTGTATCATCCACTATTGCTCTCCTGTAGTGTTCCTCACTTCCAGATCTTGAAATTGCATCTGATGTTAATGTGTTAAGCTGTTCACTTTTCCTGTGATATCACCACACATTTACCAAGAGTCGCCTGTGTTTTTGGCAGCCGCCGCCCCCTCTACCTGAGGATGAAGACATTCCACCAACCCCGCCAAAGAAACCCATGCGACCGGCCACAAAGGATGAACCAGCTAATGGTTCGCCCGACGATGGGACGGCCGTCTAGGAAGGAGGGAGGCAGAAAACCCGCATCCATACTCCGCCGTTGACCCCGCGTTGAGGAAGTGGCACAGTGACCTCGGAAACCTTGCCGACCTTTGCATCCCTTGCAAGCTTGGTGATCCTGACAACCTTGGTGACTTTTGCAGGCTGGTGACATTAACGACCTTGGCGATCTTTGCAAGCTTGGTGACCCTGATGACCTTGCTGACCTTTACACACTTGGTGACCTTTAGGACCATCGTGACTTTTGTGTCTTTTCTAAGCTTGTTTACCTTGACGGTGCTTCCAGCTCTGCAGGAAGAGCAGGAGGGGGACTCTCTGAGATGCATTCTCTGTTGGGGTTGAGGTGCCTCTTCGCAGCCAACAATAGGCAGCAATTTACTACACAACGATCTCTAATTAACCGATTACACTGTAGTTGTGCTTTACACTTCCATGCGGTGAAGGTGTGTGACGGTCGGCTTTACACTCTTGAGCTTCCATTTCTCGATTTTTCGAGACGTAATTTGCTAGCGAAAAACGAGTTCGCGATGTTGCTTTGGAATAAAAGTGGCTATATTTTTTTACAACGTGTTCACGATTTTAGTGAGGTAGCAAGTTCTGATTGACAAGCTTCAACATTAGTGCCGTAGATTCTTAGGTAAAATTCGTTTATCATCATACTTTGAAGTGTAAGACATCAAATGTAAGGAGCTAAATGTTGGCGACATGGTATCAATTTTCATGTGCATGCTCGCGTGCGTGTGTGCGTGCTTGCGTACGTGCGTACGTGCATCTATATCGTCGTGCTATATGGCTAGGAGTAGAGCTGTGAATTGGGACCGACAGCCCTAATGAGCCCTATAATTCTATTATATACATAGTCCTAGGGAGGTGTGCTTCTTTGTTTCATGCGTGGTACCGTTGCACTATAACCAGCGTGTGCGTGAGTGTCGAACGGCTTGTGTTATGGAAGCATTTCGAGAACGTGGCATATTTACAGTAGTTGCACGATGTATAGAGATTTCGAATTAATGCTTATAGATTTGTTTTTGTCTTTGTTATGATGTCCATTGTCGTTGCAACGATCATGTTCACGAATTTATTTAGAATTTAGCAATGTTCTGTTTGTAATGCTTTTGTAATGCTTTGCCTAATCAGTATTTTAATCAAACGGGGAAGGGGGGTGTACAAAATTGCATCGGCAAGTTTATATTTACGTGATTTAATTATGACACAGTTCCATTGATCATAATTATATGTAACTTTTGATATGCTAGTCTTGGTCTGTGTTGTATTCATGCGAAATTTGTGTTTTTTAATATGATTAATCATGTTGAGTACTTGCAACTGCTCGTGATGGCCTGGGTTGGTGACTGGCGAGGAAGCTGTGGTGATGCACCCCAGCTAACTCGGCTGAGAAGACTAGCCATAATTCCGTTGCCGTGGCAACGACCGCCTCCCCGAGCCGTTTGTGTAGGAGACCTGCCTCTTATGGAAAAACGCCGTGCCAAAGTTTTTTTACGTCATTTGTTATCGTCGCCTTAAGCTAATCTGAGGTAATAAACTGTATGCAAAATGCCCATCGACCTCGCTAAATATGGTGTGTATTTGTAGGAACGTGTATGTGTGTGTGTGTCTTAGGCCGTGCTAGTATGCGTCGCAAGCGTAACTTTGTGCTAGGGTAGGCTGTAGTACTCCTGTGTTAGCTATATATATATATATATATATATGTGTGTGTATATATATATATATATATATATATATATATATATATATATTATATATATATATATCATCAGTAATATTTATGTACGTTCGTGCGTACGTCATTGCGCCTGTGTAGGCGTTTCTAAGGCAACTCCAGTATCTAGCTCCCCCTTGCTAGCCATCCCCACGCATCGCATTTTTCGTAGGAGATTAGTCTTGTTATTGATTAGAAATAACAAATCGAGCATAATAAATTAGCATAATTTGTTCGGGTACATTTGAGACGAATAAAAATCGTCGTTGGGGGCGGGAAAGGGAGTGGCGAGACTGGGTGCACCGCATCGGCACTTTCATGTGGACGCGTGTTTTTCTGTGCTTCCCTCTTAGCGGGTACTGGGCCAGTCGGTCGTACGAGATACTGAATTCGCTCACACGTTGTTTGCGTGCAGCGTCGAGACTTATTTGTGCTGAGATGTAGGGCAGGCCGGTATTATTGGCGCACGGAAAAGATGTCAGATGTCAACAATAATAGGGTGACGTCACCGCGATCGTTCACGGCACTTGTGTCCGTTTCCATGGTTATCAGAGCTCGAAAGATAGTTGAATGGCGGATTCAACTGCGTACGTACCCACAGCCGAGATCTTCGCCAACGCACGCATGCCCACGCACGCACGCACGCACGACCACGCTCGCACGCACGCTCGTTCACGCACGAACCTACGCGACTCTTGCGTGGGCTTTATGATCATAGACAGGTAACGTCACGAAAGATAATAGACCTTGTCCCCGACCCCGCAAAGCAAGCAATTGTGTGGGGGGGGCACTTATGGTGCGGGTTCCTGCAGCCAGTGCGCGAGGGGGAAAAAACCTTCCCCACCCAGACACCGTTCCCATCTCCGCCAGTCGTAGTCGTAGATAAATGCACGCAGACGCTGCGTCTGGGAGCGAGGGATCAAACCAGTTAAATCGCGTGCACGATTAATCGCAGGTACAATAATGTGTTCAGCTCGGGTGTTCGTGGTGGGCTGGGGGGGGGAGCAATTATACGGATCGCGTGTTACGTATGTTCACCTCTCTGTCTGACATGATTACGACATCGTGGGGTTTATCGGGAGTCGGGATAACCGGGGCTCTCTTTCCTCGAACGTTTGCCAGTTTTTGCGCCACTGGAGCTCGATTCTTTTTAACTTTTTTTATTATGTTATCGCAGTGTTCTGATTGACGATAATCATCAGTAGTCGAGTGATTGATTGGTTATCGATATATTCAATAGTAAACCCACTACACCATATAATCTTATCGTCGCGATTTGATTGATTGCGATGATTGATTAATTTATACGTGTTTATCGCCCATGTATTGTTTAATATGCATAATTCTATGCCATGTGATTTTTATGCGTAATTGTGAAATTCGTTTTAAATGGCTGTTAGGCTATGATCACATAATATCGACTGCGTATATCAGTCTAAGGCTGCCAGACTAATCAGGCGAATGTCAAATTCAACAACTAACTATGTACATGTATAAAGGCTCTGTGTATATATAGAGAGATATAAGAAAAGTCAATAAAGGTTTATTTAATATCAAAATATTTTCAATTGGATTGTTTATTTCAAAAATAAAATCATGTACATCGCGAAGTAAGCTTACTCTTTAGGTTTCACTACCTTTGTCTTTCTGCCCTTTCACTGCCCCCCCCCGCCCCCCCAGACACACACACACACACAACACACACACACACACGACAAACACACCACCGCGCACACAATCCACAGCAGGAACACCACACACCACGCACGACGCGCGCCGACACAACAGCCACACCACGTTTGATTCATAGCCTCTCTCACTCGGTCACTACCCCACTCTCCAGCCTCTCTCACTCGGGCACTACCCCACTCTCCAGCCTCTCTCACCACCCCCCGCTCTATCTTTTTTGTCCGCGCACGCATAGGCCTACATGTACGGCGCAGGAAAATTCTACAGATAAATGCGGCGATTATGACAATAGTACGAGTGTCATTATCATTGTACACGTTAACGGGGTTTCTCATTCCATCAGTGGATAGCATCAAGGGTCCATAATAGAAAATTGTCTCTTGGTCTTTTGGACGTTGGACTTTCTATTATGGACTATAGATAGCATATAGCCGTCACCGCCCACCTCATCGTAAACTAACAAACAAGTTACCCCCCCCCCCCCCCCGGTTTGACTGCGCGAAGTTCACGGCGTCGTTCTTGCACCGAGCACGCAGCCTCTCACTGGCAGGTGCAAGGATGAGATTAATGGGCCGCGAGATTGGCTGGCTTCACGCGGTCGAAGCATGAGGGACAGGTATATATTTCGACCGTGAAAAATTATCCGGCAAAAATTATCTGAAAAAAAAATCTCTAGTTGGACGCGAGCGGGATCACTTGACATGGGCGTCTGCTCGCGTCCAACTGGGGATTTTCCGAGAAGCCGGGCACGGCGCACGGGTGACGTCACTCGTGTGACTTTGAGATCGTAAGACATGACCTTGAGACCGTGAAGGCCCCCGCACACGGTGCGAATTCGGTGCGCGCCATTGGCGTACGTAAACCAGCCCGCACACGGTGCGAATTTGACGCAGCGCCTTTGGCGCGCGCCGAATTCGCACCGTGTGCAGAGGCCTTTAAGACATGACGATGGGACTGTGAGACGTGACATTGAAACTTTAAAGGCATGAACTTGAGATACGGGTGAGTCGGCACGTCTGCACGACTAACACTCTAGAAAAGTTTCTAATAAATTAAAGCCGCACAATGCGCATCCAAACGCTAATTTCTCCAGTACTAGACTAGCAAATACTTCGTGTCATGCATAATTACACTACGTTATGACAAAATAAACTCTAGTTCCTCCCATTTCACTGCGCGTTGTCTTATAAAAGGTATTTGAAAAGACCTCCAATGTTGTTCAAATTTTCCGATGTTGTTGACAGTTTCCCCAAGCAACCGTGCAGCGGTGCTGCGGTACAGCGGTACGGGTGTAGCAAAGATAAAACATGTGACGTCACCTAACCATTTCGAGGCTAAATTGTGTGGCAAACAAGTCGGCGTTGGCGCCAGAATGCCAGTTTTCTCACCTCTTTCTTGTGGGTTTTAAGCAAACGCGCAGTGAAATGGGAGCAACTAGAGTTTATTTTGTCATAAGGTAGTGTGATTATGCATGCCACGAAGTATTTGCTAGTCTAGTACTGGAGAGATTAGCGTTTGGATGCGCATTGTGCGTCTTTAAGATGTCTCGGGTCACACGAAGGCCACAGCCGAGCGATGAGCTGTCAGATTTAGAGAAGGTTTTTGCCCGGGCCTTCCGGGGCATGTAAAGGACACCCGTGCAGCGGTGATCTTTGTGCTTCCGTGCGTGTGTTATGTTGTGTGATGCACGCTTAACATAAATCTAGGTCCACACCGTGTACGGTAGTACTAGGTCACTGCAGTGAAAGTATTGCAAACAAAGAACCGATGCACTGACAGGTACCCTGTACATACACGAAGTAGCAATGTTGCCTCGTCTTGATGTATCACTCATTAACCCCCCCCCTCCTTCTTCCCATTTACACTAACAAGCATACGCGTACGGAAGCACGCATACGCACGCATTGCATGTTTGCATGCATTACAGACGGTTCTCTCCTCGCTCTCATTCTCTCTCTATACCCGCTCCATCCCCATCTCCGCTATTTGCCATCGCTCGATTTTGCATATATATATATATATATATATATATATATATATATATATATGCATATGCATACGTAGTAGTATATAGCGCATAGTATATTACGCTACGCGCGTGTGTTGAAATTTCAGCAAGAGATGGTGACGTTGTTGTTGACGTCGCTGCGACTCATGAACGTCGCCGGCATGTCGTCGCGCGCCGCCGGCACGGGCAGCAGCCGCAGCGCTCCGTCGGCGTTCAGCAGACGGTAGGAGCACGACCGCGCCAGCTGCACGCAGAACACCTTCATGACTAGCTTGGCAAACTCGCGGCCGATGCAGGCGCGCGCTCCGGCGCCGAACGGAATGTAGCTGTAGTCGGTCGTCTTCGACGTCGCCGCGCCGCCGCCGTTCGTCCAGCGGTCCGGACAGAAGACGTCGGGCCGCGGCGACGTGTCCTGCACCTCGTGAGTGTCGCGAATGCTATAGATGACGGTCCAGTCTTTCGGAATCTGGAAGCCCTGGGAAGATGAAGAGATAAAACAGGTGAGCGTGACGTTCAGACTAAGAGGAAATTGGCAGTATAATATTAGATGCATGGACAATTGAACGCCGCAGCACAACCTCCACATACATGCGCTGATGCGATCGTGTAATGATTGGCAATGTGGCGATTTATTAAAATTATTCATATTAAAAATGTACGCGATTTGCTCGCCTGCAATTTGAAAATGCTCCTTGCTAACACTGATCAGCCCTCGGCTACGGGAGATGGACGCGAGCAGCTCGTCCCCAAGTCTCCTCCAAATTACATCAGTTACGGAACGAAGACTATAGCTGCTAATAATTCTTAGCCGCTTCTCGCGTTGACGACGTATCGCTTTTTGTCTAATCGCCATTTTGTAGTTAGCCATTGTCGTTAATCGCGTAGACGTGGAGTCTCGTGTGAAATAACCCGTAGCGCAAAGAACGCTGCAAATAATAGACGCGAACTAAATTTTAGAATGTTTAGACCACACGCGCGCATAATATTATATGCACACACTGAGCGTGTCAGCTCAAGTAATGGAATAATACTCTGCGGTGAATATCGCGCACAGCGGCGCTGTATACTTTGCCGGCATCGCGGTAAGAAAGGCTTCGCGAAAACCCGTGAAAAGCGTGAAAGCCCGCGAATCATGCGCTCGTTAGGCACGCGTGCGTGCATGCACGCCGGCCACGCGTGGTCTATATCGTTCGCTGCTAATTTAACGCGCGGTGCGTGACAGTCGATACGCGCCGCTAGAACGCATGTCTCCGCGCATGCGCCGTCATTGCTCGAACCTGCAGAACTTGTTCGCTTTAATGACTTTGATTACTTTTCGGTCGTCGCTAGCCGGCAAATTTTATCTGCGACGAATCTGCCCGCGCGCGCTCATGATCTCTCAGGCTCATATAGTCGCGATCATTCACACGATATTATCTGTTAACGCCGTTTGACACCAACCCATGAAATCACTGCACCCACCAACGTGAGGTTACCCTCGTAATATAACTTATCTATCTTTCTATCTATCTATCTATCTATCTATCTATCTATCATCTATATATCTATCTATCTATCTATCTATCTATCTATCTATCTATCTATCTATCTATCTATCTATCTATCTATCTATCTATCTATCTATCTATCTATCTATCTATCTATATATACTTAAATGTGCGACATGGTATCAATTGTCATGTGCATGCTCGCGTGCGTGTGTGCGTGCTTGCGTACGTGCGTACTTGCATGCTATATCGTCGTGGCTATATCAAGAGTAAGGAGGGGAGAGGGGGGGAGCTGTGAATTGGGACCGACAAGGCCTAATAGGGCCGCTATAATTCTATTGAATACATTAGTCCCTAGGAGGGCTTCTTGGTTGTCATGCCGTGGTACCGGTTGCAACTATAACCAGCGTGTGCGTGAGTGTCGAACGGCTTGTGTATGGAAGCATCGCGAGAACGTGGGATAATTTACAATAAGTTGCACGATGTATAGGAGATTTCGAAATTAATGCTTATAGAATTTGTTTTGCTCTTTGTTATGATGTCCATGTCGTGCAACGAATCATGTTCACGAATTTAATTTTAGAATTTACGCAATGTTCTGTTGAACTGCTTTGTAAGCTTTGCCTAATCAAGTATTGTGAATCAAAAGCGGGAAGGGGGTGTACAAAATGGCATCGGCAAGTTTATATTTACGTGATTTAATATGACACAGTTCCACATGATCAGAATTAATGTCACTGGTGATATGCTAGTCTGTCGTGTTGTATCATGGCGAAGTTGTGTTTTAATATGATAATCATGTTGAGTACTTGCAACTGCTCGTGATGGCCTGGGGGTTGGTGACTGCGAGGAAGCTGTGGTGATGCCACCTCCAGCTAACTCGGCTGAGGAGACTAGCCATAATTCCGTGTGCGCGTGCAACGGCCGCCGCCCCGAGCCGTTTGTGTAAGGAGGACCCTTGCCGTCTTAGGAAAAACGCCGTGGCCAAAGTGTTTTTTACGTCATTTGTTATCGGTTCGGCCTTTAAGCTAATCGAGGTAGAATAAACTGTATGCAAAAATGCCGCACGACCTACCGCTAAAATGGTGGTATTGTAGGCAACGAGTGTAGGTGTGTGTGTGTCTTAGCCGTGCTGAGCGTAGCGTCGCAAGCGTAACTTGGTGCAGGGTAGGCTGTAATACTCGCGGTGTAGCGAGATAGAAATATAATATATATAGTGTGTGTGGATATATGAATATATATGTAATATATATAAGATATAGAGTATAGATATATCATCCAGTAATAGTTTATGTACGTTTCGTGCGTAGCGTCATTGCGCGCTGTTAGGCGTTCTAAGGCAAGATCCAGTATCTAGCTGCCCCCTTGCTAGCCATCCCCACGCATCGCATTTTCTAAGAGATTAAGTCTGTTTATGATTAGAAAAATACAAATCGAGCATAATAAATTAGCATAAGGTGTTCGGTACATTTGAGACGAAATAAAAATCGTCGTTGGGGCGGGAAAGGAGTGGCGAGCTGGTGCAGCGCACGGCGACTTCATGTGGACCGTGTTTTTCTGTGCTTCCCTCTTAGCGGGTACTGGGCCAGTCGTCGTACGGAGATACTGGAATTCGCTCAACCGACGTTTGTTCGTGCAGCGTCGAAGGACTTATTGTGCTGAGATGTAGGGGCAGGCCGGTATTATTGGCGCACGGAAAGATGTCCGATGGTCAACAATATAGGGTGACGTCACCGCGATCGTCACGCACTGTGTCCGGTTCCATGGTATCAGAGGCTCGAAAAGATAGTTGAGATGCGGATTCAACTGCGAACGTACTCCACAGCCGAGATCTTTCGCTCAGAGCGCACGCAATGCCCCACGCACAGCCACCACGCACGAGCGCACGCTGCGGCGACGCACGCTCGTTCACGCATGAAAAAACCTACGCGACTGCTTGCGTGGGCTTATGATCATAGACAGGGTAACGTCACGAAAATAAATAGACCGTGTCCCCGACCGCGCAAAGCAATGCAATTGTGGGGGGCACTAGGTGGCGGGTGCCTGGCAGCCAGTGGCGCGATGGGAAAAAACCTTCCCACCCAGACCCCGTTCCCATCTCCCGCCAGTCGTAGTCGTAGGTAAATGCACGCAGACGGCTGCGTCTGGAGGAAGAGGGATGCAAGACCAGTTAAATTCGCGTGGACGATTAATCGCAGTAGCAATGAATGTGTTCAGCTCGGGTGTTCGTGTGGGCTGGGGGGGGGGAGCAAATTATACGGATCGCGTGTGACGTATGTTCACCTCTCGTGTTCTGACATCATTAAACGACATCGGGTTTATCGGGAGCGGGATAACCGGGGCCTCTTTCCTCGACGTTTTGCCAGTTTTTGCGCCACTGGAGCTCGGAATTTTTTTAAGCTTTTTTATTATTTATCGGCAGTGTTCTGATTGACGAATAATCATACAGAGTCGAGGTGATGGAGGTTATCGATATATTCAAGTAGTAAGACCCACTACAGCGCCTCCAATCTATGCGTCCGATGTGATTTGATTGGGCGAAGGATTGATTAATATACGTATGATCCCCATGTAATTGGTTAATATGCATAATCTATGGCCCTATGTGATTTTATGCGTAATTGTGAAATTCCGTTTTAAATGGCTGGTTAGGTCTATGATCACATAATATCGACTGGCGATATCAGTCTAAGGCTGCCCAGACTAATCAGCGAATGTCAAATTTCAAACAACTAACTAGTACATTATAAAGGCTGCTGGGAGTATATAAAGAGAGAATATAAGAAAAGTCAATAAGTTTATTTAATATCAAAATATTTTAATTGGATTGTTTATTTCAAAAAATAGAAACATGTACAGTCGCGAAGTAAGCTTACCTTTAGGTTTCACTACTTTTGTCTTTCTGCCGGTTTCAACTGCCCCCGCCCCCCAGACACACACACACACACACCACACAACACACCACACACACACACACACCACGCACACGCGCGCCGTACACACACACACACGTATTCCATAGCCCTGCTCACTCGTCAGTACCCCACTCCTCCAGCCTTGCCACTCGGCACTAACCTCCACTCTCCAGCCTCTCTCAACCACCCCCCCTCTATCTTTTTTGTCCGGCCGCACGCATAGGCCCCTAACATGTGTAGGCGGCGCAGGAAAATTCTACAGATAAATGCGGCGGATTATGACAATAGTACGAGTGTCATATCATTGTACACGTAAACGGGTTGTCTCATTACCATCAGTGGATTAGCCCATCACGGGTCCATAAATAAAAACTTGTCTCTCTCCGTCTTTTGGACGTTGGACTTTCCCTATTAATGGACTATAGATTAGCATATAGCCGTCACCGCCCACCTCATCGTAAACAAACAAACAAGTTACCCCCCCCTCCCGCCGTTTGACTGCGCGAAGTTTCCACGCGCGTTCTTGCACCGAGCACGCAGCCCTCACTGGCAAGGTGCAAGGAGAGATTAATGGCCCGGCGAGATTGGCTTAAACTTCCAACGCGGCGAGCATGGAGGGACACAGGTATCATATTTCGACCGGTGAAAAATTATCCGGCAAAAATATCTGACAAAAAAATCTCGTAGTTTTGACGCGGCGGCTCACTTGACAGGGCGCTGCTCGCGTCCACTGGGGATTTCGAGAGAGCCGCACGGCGCACGGGTGACGTCCACTCCGTGTGCTTGAGATGCGTAAGACATGACCTTGAGACCGGGAAGGCCCCCGCACACAGTCGATTCGGTGCGCGCCATTGCGGTACGGTAAACCAAGCCGCACACGCGGGGCGAATTTGACGCAGCGCCTCTTGGCGCGCGCCGAATTCGCCACCGTGTGCGAGAGGCCTTAAACAATGACGATAGCTGGTGAGACGTGACATTGAAACTTGAAAGGCATGAACTTGAGATACGGGAGGTCGCACGCCACTCTGGCACGACTAACACTCTAGAACAAGTTTCTAATAAATTAAAGCCGCACAATCGCAGCCAACCGCTAAATTGACTTCCAGTAACTAGACTTGCAAATACGTCGTGTCAATGCATAAACACACGTTTATGACAAAATAAACTCTAGTTCCTCCCATTCTCACTGCGCGTTGTCCTTATAAAAGTATTTGAAAAGACTCCAATTTGTTCAATAATTTCCGATGTTGTTGACCAGTTTCCGCCAATGCAACGCGGCAGCGGTGCTGGCCGGTAGCAGAGGTCCCCGGGTGTCAGCAAAGATAGAAACATGTGACGTACCTAACCACTTCGAGCTAAATTGTGTGGCAAACAAGTCGGCGTTGGCCCAGAAGCAGTTTCCAACCTCTTCTTGGTGTTTAAGCAAACGCACAGTGAAAGGAAGCAAGCTCAGAGTTTATTTTGTCATAAAGGTAGTGTGATTATGCATTGCCACCGAAGTATGGCAGTCTAGTACTGGAGACGAAATTACGCGTTTGGATGCGCATTGGCGTCTTAAGAAATGTCTCGGTCACACAAAGGCCAGCAGCCGAGAGAATGAAGTGTCAGATTAGAGAACGGTTTTGCCCGGCCTTCCGGCATGTAAAGGACACCCGTGCAGCGGTGACTGCGATTCCGGTCGGTGTATGTGTGTGATGCACGCTTAACAAAATCTTAAGTCCACACCCGTGGTACGGCTAGTAGTTATTAAAATAAAATAAGTCACTGCAGTGAAAGTATGCAAACAAAGCAACCGATGCACTGACAGGTAGCCCTGTACATACACAGAAGTACAACTGTTGGCGCCTGCGCTGATGGAGCTCACATCATTACACCCCCCCCTCCCCTTCCCATTGACACTAACAAAGCATACGCGTACGAAAGGCCACGGCATACGCACGCATGCATGTTTCTGCATGCATTACAAGACGTTCTCTCCTCGCTCCTCCATATCTCTCTCTATACCGCCCATCCCCAATCTCCGCTATTTGCCATCCGCTCGAATTGCATATATATAATATATAATATAATACTATATATAATATCATATGACATACGTAGTAGTATATAGCGCATAAGTAATTAGCCTACGTCCGTGTGTTTTGAAATTCTCAGGCAACGAGATGGTTGACGTTGTTTGTTCGACGTCGTCTGCGTAACTCATGAAACGTCCCGCATGATCGTGCGCGCGCCGGCCGGCACCCGGCAGCAGCCGCAAGCGCTCCGTCGCGTTCAGCAGACCGGTAGGAGCACGACCCGCCAGCTGCACGCAGACACCTTCAATGACTGACTGGCAAACTCGCGCCGATGCAGGCGCCGGCGCGCCGCGCCCGAACGGAATGGTAGCGTAGTCGGTCGTCTTCGACGCCGCCGCGCCGCCGCCGTTGGCGTCCCAGGCGGACCCGGACAGAAGACATCGGGCGCGGCGAACGGTCCCTGCACGCTCGGGAGTGTCCGCGTATGCTATAGATGACGGTCGCAGTCTCGGAATCTGGAAGCCCTGGGAAGCACTGAACGAGATAAAACAGTAGCGTGACCGTCAGACAAGAGGAAAATGCAGTATATATATAGATGCATGGACATGAACGCCGCAGCAACAACCTCCACATACATCCTGATGCGAGCGTGTACATGATGCAATGTGGCGCATTATCTAAATGATTAACATTCACAAATGTACGCGATTTGCTCGCCTGCAATTTGAAAATGCTCCTGCTAACTGAAGTCAGCGCCTCGGCTACGAGAGGACGCGAGCAGCTCGTCCCCAAGCCCTCCAAATTAACATTCAGTTACGGAACGAAAGACTAACTGGCTAATAATTCTTAGCCGCTTCTCGCGTGAGCGACATACGCTTTTTGTCTAATCGCCATTTGAGTTAGCCATGCCGTTAATCGCGTAGACGTGGAGTCTCGTGTTGAAATAACCCGTAGCGCAAGAACGGCTGCAAATAATAGACGCAATAAATTTTAAATGTTTTAGACCACTAACCGCGCATCAATATTATATGCACACCTGAGCGTGTCCAGCCAAGTAAATGCGTAAACTCTGGCGGCGAATATCGCGCAGCAGCGCGCTGATAACTTTGCCGGCATCGCGGTAAGAAAGGCTTCGCGAAAACGGCCTGAAAGCGCCGCGAATCATGCGCCCGTTAGCACGCGTGCGTGCAATGCACGCCCGGCACGCGGTGGTCTATATCGTCACGTCTAGCGTGCTGCTAATTACACGCGGTGCGTGACAGTCCGATACGCGCCGTCTAGAACGCCGTCTCCTGCGCCATGCGCCGTCATTGCTCGAAGCTGCAGCGAGAAAAAGAACTTGTTCCTTTAATCGACTTTGATGCCTTTCGGTCGTCGCAGCCGGCAAATTTTATCTGCGACGAATCTGCCGCGGCGGCGCCATGATCTCCAGGCTCTATAGCGGACATTCACACGATATAGCTGTTAACGCCGTGTTGACGACCAACCCATGCAAATCACTGCAACCCACCAACAGTGAGGTTACCTCGAAATAGAACTATGCATCGTTCTACTATACTATCTACTATCACTAATGCTACACTATGATATCTACTATCTACTATCACTATCTATCGATCTACTATCTATCTATCATATCTAATCTAATCTACTCTATCATCATCTATCTATCATCTAGTGATAGTA